AATATAGCGGTTGGTCCAGGGAAGTCGAAAACGTCGAACAGAAACCAACACCATTCTTCCTCCCGTAAAACCAAAATGTGGATTCAAAATTACTGATGAGACAAAATCCAGGATTAAGGACTTCTATTATCAAGATGATGTTTCTAGAGCCTGCCCAGGACAACAGGACTTCTTATCCATAAAGAACAAGGAAACGGAAACGAGAACATAAGCAGAAGCGGTATCTTTTAAGCAATCTGCGGGAGCTCTACGAAATTTTCAAGACCCACCACCCGGATTCGAAAATTGGGAAATCATCCTTTATGATGCTAAGGCCGCCAGAATGCATCTCGCTAACCAGCAAGGGATACCACAACGTTTGCGTATGTATTCATCATGAGAACGTCAAACTTTTGTTCCACGCTATCAAGATTTCTTCAATCAAGCCTTTAATTTCACAATTAGTTTGTGAAAACGGAGGCAAGGATTGCTACTACAGGAGATGTGCTCAGTGTAAAGGATCCACAACAAGATTCAAAACAACTTTAAGAGAAAATGAAGTACTCAAGAACAACGAGTCAATATCGTACCGAAGATGGCTAACAACCGATGGGACCCAATACGTGACTCAAGAAAAGGATACCGAAGAATTCTTGGACTTTGCAACTTTAGAATTGGAGAAGATGATGAAACATCACTACATCAGCAAAGCTCAGCATGAATTTCTGGTGGATCTTCGCCAGAATCTCAAACCAGGTGAGATTGTCATATGGGGCGATTTTTCTGAAAATTATTCACCTGTCATCCAAAACGCTGTCCAGTCTGAGTATTTTTCCCATAAACAAATCACTCTCCACCCCTTCACGATATATTGGAACGTGAATCAAGAAGTCAAGATGAAGAGCATAACTGTCATTAGTGATTGTACCACTCATGACACAAACTCTTTCTACGCATTCCAGACCAAACTCGTACCAAAACTTGTTGCTGAGTTTGCTGCTGCCCAAATCAAGATTACCAAGATCTACTACGTTTCGGATGGATCTGCAGCCCAATATAAGAACCGAAAAAACTTCTGTAACTTATACCATCATCTAAAGGACTTCGGAATTATAGCTGAATGGAACTATGGAGCAACTGCTCATATGAAGGGACCTCAAGATGCTCAAGGAGGAATTGCGTAACGTCGAGCAAGAACTGCATCCCTACAAGGCACCAAGATTACAACAGCCTTAGAATTCTATAACTGGTGCAGTTCAAATATCAAAGGAATAGAATACATCTTCATCTCGGATTCCGAAATTCAGGAGATTATTGATGAAAAGGATTTAACTTCCCGGTACGAGACAATAAAAACAATTGCGGGGACTCAACAAGCTCATCGTATTGAAATTGCATCGGGAAAAATTCACCTTTACGAAGTTTCTCGGGACACCACGGTGATGGCTACGAAAATAATGGAATCCGAAGGCCAACCTCCCCTGGTCATCATCGATGAATGCTCTGTCAGCGATTGGGTTGTTTGTGTCTACGAGAAACAATGGTATGTCGCAATCATCGACGAAGTGGACCTCGCGGAACAGGAGGTGAAGGTGACATTTTGGAAACCCAACACCTCCAAATCCAAATCTGGAACTTCGTATATTTCTGAAAACGCTTCTTGTTACATCAAGATTGGACAGATTATTAAGAAGATTTTCCCATCAAGAGCATCAAGACGTGGAAGGACCATCAACATCTCTATGGAGGAGCAGGAAGAAATAGGAAGACTCTTTCAACAATTTCAACGATAAATGTATAAACTTGTAAATAGTGTATATATGTAAATAGTAGGTTAATTTCTTAGTTTAGACCTTTATTTTATGCGGTGCTAGTATTAAGAAGTGATACCTCCTAGTCTCAAGAAAGAAGAAGGACGTGGTGGCGAAGATGGACTTCGAATGGTGGTGTTGGTGGCTGACCTAATAATATTTTTTAATAAATTTATTTATTAAATCATATTATTAAATACTTTAAATGAATTATTCAAATTTACCCGATTCTTCGAATTTAAAATCATTTGGTAATTTAGTCATGATCGCAGATCGCATAATATAACTTTCATATGGCTTTCAATGACTGTTTTTAATTGGTAAGAATGTTAGTTTAATTATCCCGCGATAATTAAATTAACATCACCTTGGGTAAGGGTCCGAGGTTGTTGCTACCTCGCTGATGACTGGATTTTCCAGCAGGAAGTATTTGTAAGCAAATAATTCTTGGACTAAGCATAGTCGAAACCCTAAAATTGCTGATAGTGTCTAACAAACACTATTAGCTTATGAAATTTTACACAATCATGGTGATCCATGATTATGAACAAATAATTTCAGATAAGCTTACGTTTTAAATTTGGAGTGATTTGGATAAACTTAATGTGCTTATCTGAAAAATTGATAAGTACACTGATAACCCCCGGAGCGCTAATTTTCGAGTGCATGACGTCATTATAAAATCAGATAAGCTTAAGTTTTAAATTTGGAGCGATTTGGATAAACTTAATGTGCTTATCTGAAAAATTGATAAGTACACTGATAACCCCCGGAGCGCTAATTTTCGAGTGCATAACGTCATTATAAATTCAGATAAGCTTAAGTTTTAAATTTGGAGCGATTTGGATAAACTTAATGTGCTTATCTGAAAAATTGATAAGTACACTGATAACCCCCGGAGCGCTAATTTTCGAGTGCATAACGTCATTATAAATTCAGATAAGCTCAAGTTTTAAATTTGGGGCGATTTTATGACTTCATGCAATACAAGTGCATTTTCATGCAATTCTGCATGCCTGAAATGCATGATTCATAAGCGTCATATATATTCATAAGTTTGTTACGGCCTTTACCATACAAGATGGCCCCCACGGAAACTTTGACCTCAAAAAAGTCATGGTTCCAGTCATTTCCCTTCCGACAACAAAAGCTGAGAATATAGCTCTTTTGACGTAGACAAATCTGGCATCAGGTTGTCAGAAGGGAAATGACTGGAGCTATTAGTTTTTTAACGATTTATGTGTATGTAAAAAAACCGCGAATATTCGAATTTTGAAATTTTTGATGCATCGAAATGTTCATATTCAGGGGGGGATTCGAATGTCAAATGCAAGTTGGGGCCTAATTCTTGTTGTACCGAGTGTATACTAGCTTTCTCATTTTTCCCAGTTTCTTGTCTCAATTTTTAAAGGGGGTGTGGTTACATGCAGTTCTTAAATTCCTATACTACGTGAACCCTTCCACCGAAAATTAAATTTGTAATAATTTTTATGGAAATCGGTGGGATCGATGCGAAAAAGATTTTTACGTATTCCTCATTTTCTATCTGCATATCGCATAACAATAAACCACAGCTAAGTAACTGTAGTGAAACATTTGCGTCCGGTCGAAGTCATAATGGGTCCGGGATTTGGTAATGAAATAATACTATCTGGTAATCATTTTATTACTAGGCAGTATTAATCTTTGTACTATATGGTATTAATTTTTTAAATTTTTTACAAAATCATTACCAAAGCGGTAGAGTCACATATCAATATCGCGTTTTACTGATTTTCTTAAGAGTGCATGACATTACTACTTAGATACTTATCTACTTACTAAGTATATATCAGAATAAAATAGTTTACCTCCGCGCAAGAAATTTGGTCTGTCTTGAGGAGACGGGGCGAGTTTGGATAAAGTGATGCGACCACTGTAAGCTAACCTTAGCGCAGAATTATTCGAGTTATTATTATTGCCCGCATTTTTTCCTCCCCCGTTTACATTGTGTCATGTGTAAGATGAGAAGGGGAGGCTGGCTAGGATGAAAATCAGTTTTTTTTTATGACCTAATATATGCGCGTTTCCCAATGAAAACTCCCAACTGTCCACCAAGGGTGCATACATATATTTTGTATCTATGTATCCGTGTGGGATAAGAGTGACTATAAGTAATATATATACCTATACTAGTGTGTATAATGGGAAGGGGAAAGCTTTTTAACGAATGTTTGGTAAAATATATATCGTGCTCCAAGTTGAGCTCATGTCCCTTTATTTCCTTTCAGAAAAATTGAATTTCTTGCCCTTTTTCTTAAATAAGTATGGCAGATTATTGAAGCATCAATAGTAGTATTGAATATTTGTATTGAAAGAAATTCACAGGAAAGCAGAATAATCGGTCCAATTCATTATTCACCACGTGTAAAATGGTGGGCATAATTGAAGGAAATACGACCCTTCGTTCAAAGGAAGGAGGCATAGTTCAGTCCCTGAGTTCCTGTAAAAGGGTCAATTTTCTAAGCAATCACATTTCTTTCTAGCCTTCCTTCGCAAGTCATTCACCCTTGAATGTCGCCTTTAAAGCCTCGCACAATGGAACCTTTTTTTTCAAGCCACACCGGGCCTGTGTGGCGAGTTGTGTATTTGTGGTGCTTCGAGTTTTCATTATTGTAAAAATAATAAACCGTTGCAAACGAAATGTAGCAAAGGGGTGAAAACACACGTAAATGTCCTTGTGGCACACCCACATCGCCTTTCAATACTTTCCCGTCATTTTCCCCAATTGTCTCACATTACCCCACGTCTCAATTCGCCCCGTTTCGACATAACTCCCGCGTACTCTGAACGTACACGACTATACCTTTCCATAGACACCCCACGTGACATAATTCAGTTTGTCGACATGGCGTCGTCTACACGGTCAGACGGTCATGGCACGTCGAAATGATGTCGATTTTTGAAATCCCCGCCCCAAAATACGTCTAAAACAGTCGAAACAAAAAATTCGACACCTATTCGACACGGCGTCGTCGCCATGGCGACGTGACCTTAATACCTACGACGCCCATCTTCGAACTCATCCGTACTTCAAAAATTAGAAATACTTTGGCGAAAACCGCATCTCGATATTCGCATCCGTTCTAAAGTTATCGTGGATACAGACAGACAGACGGACAGACAAGACATTCCCATAAAGGGGTTTTCACCCCTTAATAAGTAAAGTTGAGGACTCATTCCTACGTACAAATAGTTTCTATCACATCAAAATCTTCGGCCTCGTGTCAGTGTCGTTTTCAAATTCGGGCCACAGTGATACTTATCTTTCAGTAGATAACCACTTCGATAGGCGCGTTTCCCTCGATCAGTTATCTACGTAACTTGAATCCGGCTAGGTCAACTTTACGGCCAGAACCACGGTCAAGCTTGCATACTCCTTAGACATCGGCACGATCCATCGTTCTCATTTCGAGTACCATCCTCCATGGTCTTGTTAATCCTGTCCGTGTCAGTTTAGTGAAGAAATACCTCCCCAACCATCCTCTAATTCGAGGCAGAAGGAACATATTTCCGACGTAAGTGAATAATACATATTTATAACGATATAATTTGTACAGAACACAGAAGGACTCCTTGCCGATTGGCAAATGGAAGTCGGACAGATTGGCGAAAACTTGTGTGGCGAAAAACGTTCGCACAAAAATTATCTAGTTCGGCGAAAACAAAATTTCACCCAGTCTACGAAATTTTTAGCAAATAGCTGTCTAAATTAAGTAAACAATTATTTCGTCCTAATCTTCACGTGGCTCTACAATTCTAATTTAAAATTATAAAGATGCATCCTAAATTTTTTAAGATAGGTACTCATAACGTTAAATGACAATAATATGTTCTAGGATACTTGTGGAAGGATGGGCGATGACATTGATCAGCATCATGACACATTTACTGTCTTAATGAGTCCAGTTGTAAAGGAGTATTTTCATACATTCATATTTCTTAATCCGATAAACTCATCCAATTCTTGAGCCATTTAATATTTTCTGAGAAAAATGTATTTATTGTCAGGTAATGGCGGAAATTTTCGCAAATCTGGCCATTAAGGACTTACGCTCATCTCGATTCGTGTGCCGTAAATGGGGGATAATTGGTGGATCTGTCTTGTCGAGTAAGTTCTGGCTCGAGTTGGATCATCCCTGCGACGCAGCCATATGGAAGCCCCCAATTATCCACGACAAATTCTGGCGCCGTGTCTCCATCCAGCATGGAGAAGCGAGGTCCGGCTTGCCTAAATTTGCCTGCAATAGAGACGACCACCCAACTTTTCTCGCTAATTGTATGACCCTGCTGCCCAATATGGATCAATTCACGCAAGATTTACATATACATGTCAGCCATTGGGGGGGCATCCAACTGCTCCGTGCCCTTGCGCATGGACACTTTACCATCCTGAAATTTCTTTCCGTCAGATTTATTCTGGCAAATCCTGCGGATGAGGTGGGATTATTGGACTGCCAAAATTTTGCAACCCGCCACACCCTTACCAAACTCACCTTATTGCTGGGTGCTCCATTTGGCAATAGCAATTTATTGGCATCGATGTGCCAAGTCTTGATCAATGCTTGTGCAAATTTGGAAGATCTGCATATTACGAGCTCGTTTTATCCTGATCTAACCGATTGTGGGAAATTGGGCGTCTTTAAGTACAAGCGTATTTATGTGGAACCAGACTTCCCATTGCTTAACAGAATGTTGTCAACTATTCCAAACTCTGTTCGAGACTTCAGCCTGGATTACCCTACTGGAGAGATCCAACTTCAAAGAACAGATGTATTAAGTTCATATATTTAAAATCTATGATAATAATTGGTGCTCCTCAGACACCTCTCAAATATTTCGCTTCCTTCGCTTGGTTAGAAATTTCGCTTGTGTTATCAAAGGTGCATCAATCGAACGACCAATCAGAGCTCGCCATTCTAAGCGAGCGAACATCTGGGCAAGCGGGGCTCCAAAGTAGAGGTAGTGTCACTTATTTTTTTCCCTGTACCTGGTCTTGTCGTAGATTTTAAAGTTCGCGCACAATCTCAGTTTTACTCATGTGAAAAGACTTCAGTCAGATTCGCAGCGCTTAATCCAGCGAAATTTCTAACCTAGTGAAATATTTGAGAGGAGCCCCATTATACATAATTTATTTTTTCCCCTTTCAGCTGCTAAATTTTGGCCCTGATCCTATGCCAAACCTTACCTCGCTAAATATCGAGTATTCCCGGAGTTACTACACTATTGACACCGTTTTGAAGTTGGGATTATTTCCCAAACTGGAACACCTTTGCATAACACTGCCTCCCCATCTATTTCCGCATTACACCATCTTTACCGACGTTAAAGATCGTGGGGTGGGTGTGACGTCACTGAAATTGACATACCCTCCTGTCCGATATCTGAATGAAGTGGCGTTGTTGCGAATTGTCGCGGCATGTCTTTCTGTGAAGAGATTAAATTTAAGGCTTAATTCCCCTGGAATAGAAATGCTTCAAAAAATTATTGACGCGTTGAATGGTTGGGATTTAATCCGAGGGGTTGTGTTTCTTAAAGAACTGAGTTGCACAGATGTGGCCCCTGTTTTGGAAATTTGGGCATCGTTGAATAGTCAGTACCTCACATTTTATCCCATTCTGAAGTTAATGACGCATACATACTTATCTAATTCTTACATTGTTACCTCCAGTCTCCGGAAGGGTTAAGTTAATCCTCCACACGCGGGATTTTAGAAAGATGGGGATGCGAACGCAAAAGCTGGGAGCTAAGCCAAAATTCATGTTCTCTCAGAGGTTGAATGCTGCATTTATTTCCTGTAGACGATGTGCACGCGTAGAGATTGGCGTAGACGTGGCATCATGCACGGTAAGTTTATATATTTTCGATTTATACATGCCGATCATAATTTAACGAGTTTTTTCTCTTCCAAGATGAGTCCTAATGTACGAGATAACATCAAATCCTTCTTGGAAATGCAGCAAATACCGATTCATTTTGAATCTGTGCACGGAAGGGCTAAATTCAGCGGAGACTAAGTATTCAGTCCGGATTATTTCATTATTTATGATTTCCACCCAATTTACATGTATTTTGACGGCTTCGGACATTTTTCTCTTGTTTTGTTTTGAGCTACTCTACTTATTACCCTCGTACATATGTATTTACACCTTGTGTGACTTATTGAAATCCGTAAAGTTTTAGGGATTATCACAATCATACAAATTTAAAGTTTAGTATGAAAAAGCTTTTTGTAATTATTAGAAGCTAGAATCACGAATATATGATACGTATTGCGTAATTGTATGAAGGCAAAAAGAGAACTCGGTTTAATTGACTAACAATGCGATGGTGCGAAGTGGTAAACTCCGATTTGTTTGAAATTTTGAAATTATGTTGTCCACGTCACTACGACCAACGTTTCTTGAAGCATTTTTGCGACGGTTGGAATTTGTCAAAATATTATAGGTTAAAGTTGAAAAAAAACAAATGAGTTTACCAATACATGAATATTTATAAATTTAATGTTTAAAATTATTAAATACTTAAAAAATGTTGACATATTTACATACCGATAATGTCACTTTTTGTAGTGGTTAAAATACATATTGTGTTTTCCTAAGCAAGCAAAACTGTAAAATGGGGTTTTAGAAATTTAAAGCATTTAATGACAGAATATTTAGACTTATATATGAAATTAGTAATGCTCCTTATATTTACATAGGTTATTATCTTGTTCTTAATTTGATGGTCCAGTCTGGCATTGAATTAATCATACTTTTGAAGGAGATACATACGATTGATAATCTTGTATACAGTCTGTATAATACAGACATATCAATCAAACACAACTTACATACATAAACATATGTATAAGGTACAGATAATATTCTATACGTCAAAGTAAAACTATACGTATCCAGACGAATTAAAAGATAAGCAAGTCTTGATCATCAAGAAATGCACAAGAAAAATTTACGTATTAAGCCGACCCAGAGCAATAGGTACATCCGTACGAGTTAATTATGGCCTTATTAAATGGATATATGTATTTACCATACGTACAACGCAACGTATTTATTTTCTCCCAAAATTGCGCATTTACATATCTACGTACACAAATTACGCAATTCTCTCCTCAGCACAAAATATTATTCAAGTTCAAGTTCACTCATTGCTCATGCAACGCAACTCATCATCAGTCCAATTATTCTTCCGTGTAATTTCAAAATAAATTGAGAGTTGTTCAAAATATCTAGAGATTAAGTATATCGACATGAATCGTGCCATATTTCTAATTATTCTCGCAGTTGGAATTATTATGGTTCCCACGCTGACTGAAAGTGCAAGTTGTTACGAAGCTTGGAGTCGATGTACAGGTTGGAGTTCGGGAGGGACAGGAATTTTGTGGAAAACTTGTGCTGGTCGGTGCCAACTGTGTCAGGGACGTGCGTCAGGTACTTGTAAAAAATAACAAGTTGTATGACTTTCCTTTTTTGGAATTTATATTTGGTGGTTTTAAAAAATCATGCAGGTGCATGCGTTCCAATTAATAATGGGGATTGTGGTGCTCGTACCCAGTGTCAATGTTCAGGAGGAAATGTTCCAAGAAGCACGAACCTCGTGGACAGGATGACCTGCTTCTTCGGACTGTAAATTTATTATGGTATAAAAACTGAAGAAGTTAGCCGTTTAATAAAATCTTTTGTTCCAACACATTTAACAAGATGTTATTGGTCATTGTTTTTTGACTAAATACAATTCTTCCATATTTCAAATAATGCAGCACTCTTCAAATCATTTATGGAACGTGCATATATTTATTGCGTCATAATTTTAGTGGTCTGAGGAACGAAGGTAAACTGAATGAATTAAAGCAAATTCCAGTGGGTGCAAAAAAAAATCGCACCCAAATTTGTATCACATCGTTCGCAAAAATAATTTATTATAAATGAAGAAGTCATGTCCTCGAAAATTATGTAATTTCCTGCTAACAAACGATACAAGTAAATAATTGCACAATTATCAAATTTCATCCAAATTTTCCCAATCGGTCACACAAAAATTAAGCTCAGAAATAGTTTTAACGTCGCGTTGAAAGTTTTTAAAGTTTGAAACCGCATCATACGCAGCGTCGAATAATTCTTTGTGATCGATTAGTTGGTCATCCTCATACACACATTGTACGTTCAGATTGAATTCCCGTTCTTGACACGGATTCCTTCCAACACGGAAGAAATATTGAATCTTAATATCAATAGGATATCTCCTATTGAATTCTAGTTCTTCGTTAAGACGATCCCTCGGATTTTGGACCAAGGGGTTAAGATGTTTCCAGAAATCGCCTTCCGTACCGATTCCTACGTAAAATTTGCATACAAATTTAAATTTGCCTAAAAGTCTGAAAAGTCAACTGATCAATTATTACTTAATCTTTCCTTTCGGCAATTCAACTTGTCCGGCATTGGTTTATCTTGAACTTGTCGGTCACATTCGCCCTTTAAGATTTCGATCACCTCGTTAGCAAAATCTTGCCCTACGAGATCAACAAGCTCGCGAAAATTCCCTCGGTTCTTGCAGCAATCGCATCACCTCTTTCGCTTCCAAGACCGCACATACTTTAAAATTTAATGGTGGGAGAAATTCAACGAAATCCAGCTTCAGTAAGTCCAGTTACACCGTTTGGCTTGCGGTATTTGCAAGCCGCCTTGGCCAATACATTATTAGAGGAAATACCACTTGACAGTTGATAATTCTAAAAAGTGCTAAGTGCTGTCGATTTTAAGTTCTAAAAGGATCTATGTGTAGTCATTTATTAATTCTAAAAAGGGTTAAGTGCACCGTTAACACCCTTATAGTGCACTTAGCTCAATTTAGAATTAAGAAGTGACTGCACCTAGCTCTTTTTAGGATGAGTAGCACGCCAATATGAAAAATAATCAGCAGCACTTCAAAAATTATACCTGAACAAACGATGCCAGTTTCCTGATAAACAAATTCGCACAGTTTTTGCCCAATTTCGAGACCATATCCCAACCGGACTTCCTCAGGATCTTCTGTATCTCGCGAATTATAATACGTCTTGGCTCGACGTGCAAGCCGCCTGCCTCTAAAGGTTTCAGAGTTTGCCTCCATGCATACTTTTTGTGTAGTATCGATATCAGTTTCCCAGTTTCCAATTATGGCGTCCACTTTATCTGTTAAGTCTAGAAAATATTCATCATTTAGTTCCTTTAGTAAGGGGATGGGAACCTCGTCGTCCGCGTCGGTAATAATTTCTCGAATGAAAGTCAAAATTGCGGGTCGGATAGCGAAGCTCCATTGATTTGTTTCTGATGAGTCGTTTTTGTCAAATTTTTGCTTTTTAGGGATTGTTGTCAGGTAGGGGCATAGTGCAACGGCTTCTTGAAGTGTGTGCTTACGACTAATCTTGAAATGCTTTGCTTCGTTGGAGACGGACAAAATTCTGCAATAGATTTTTTTACATTCAATTTTCAACTTTTTATATTTGAGTGAATATGTAAGTAAAACCTAACCTAGGAAAAAAGTAAATCTCCACTTGATTAATTTGTCTGAGGTGATTTAGATATTTTCCATAATTTTGATACTAATTTGAACCCCTTGCCTTCAAACTACACATATTTGTTTCGTATTTTATTTCCTCTTGAGGATGAATTACACAATTATATGTACATACTTCAAAAATGACCCTGACATTAAAATTTCTAATAACAAGAGTATTTCTTCGGCATTTTGTGGAAAACAGGATGCCAGATAGTAATTTGTCCTTGATATCCTTCTTCTAAAATCTTGGAATTTTCGTTATACCGACCAATGTTAAAAAGTGGATTTTTCAGGGTTGTCATAAAAAACTTTGGAAACTGGTTGAAATAATATTCGGTTTTTTTATATAGAGAAAATCATAAAAAAATTAGTAGTACGAAAGAGGTTAAGTATGCAATTCATATAAAAAAATTACGTTCCAGACGAAGTTACCACGACGCACGGTTTACCAATTTTGGTCAGTTTTTTGACTAATTTGCACATAGAAGGCGTCCGCATCTAGTACAAAAATTACCTGGCAGGGTGACATTTAGATGTTTAATTTCGGAAATATTTTCTTCAGTAAACTTGCTTACAACGTATTACGATTGCCGTTGATGAAGTTTATTGACCAACTAATTGTGAACAGAAAAGCGAACGCAAATTTATACGATATATTTATTATAATATCTGGTATTGCTTATGTGAATATGACTCATCGTCGTATGATTTACTTCAGCGAATTTATTACCGAAACGTAGTATCCATTAATATTTTACAACGTGAGACGTTATCTTGTATGTATACACAGGGTTGCGTATTACACCTATAGTACATATTGTGGTTAGCTCGTGGTTGATTTTGTGCTTACCTGACATAAAAAGCTTATCAATGTAGAGATACATATGTGTGGACCTTTATAATACAATTTGTCCCATACATATCGCTATAAAACGTTATGATGAACAATCGTATTTATAACGTGTAAGGTTAAAGCCATAATGAGACAATGTGTTAATTTATTGATGCTAAACGTTTATCCAGTTATACTTAAAATTAGCACAATGAGTAGCAAACTGCTTTTGCTAAAGTTCCACACGTGCGTGATTAATTTTTGCTTATTTTTGTAAGTTTAATTGGAATAAGTAATGAAACATTTATTTTATTCCAAAGTATCAATATTTTAATTTTATGCAAACACATAAATATATTTATTACCATTAATGCATATGTACGTTGACTAAAAAAGAAAAGGGTCAAAATTAGTAGTGCTAAAAAAGTTCTATGATTACTAATTAAAATGGTCAGTATCGTTGAATTTAAAAGTCAATTATATCGTACCTAAGCTTACTTTTACTGCCCTAGTAAAACTCATCCTCAGCTAACAACATTCCAAAGCCAGTTGATCTCTCAAGTCCCCATTTACACTGATTTATGTATGTACAAGAGTACGTAACGTTTAACTATTTCTCCAGGGTGTGGATTTTACCACAATGAATAACCAGTTCCTTAAAAGTAAAGAATTTCTTTCCACAGAAATAGCACTCGCTTTTCTTGACACCGTCGTGTCTCTGTGCCACGTGTGTTCTTAGTCTGGATTTTACCCAGGTCTTGTAATCGCATTTATCACATGAATAATTCAGTCTCTCCTTTGTGCCGTGATTTGCCTCTATGTGATATTTCAAGCCAAGCGGAGTCTTTAGTTTCTTATCACAACGGGTACATGCATAGTCCATCCGATTTTCGTGATAAGTCCTGAAATGATTCCGAACTCCATGGTTGGACAAAAAAGTCCGAGGACACAAGGCACATTTATAAGCCTCCCGCGCAGATTTCTCTTGATGGGTTCTCTGAAACAAAATCCACAATTAATTTATAATTAATTAATCTCAAGCAACTAATTTTTTCGAAGCATTAATTTTCGTACCTTATGCGTTTTAAAATTACTCAAATGTGCATAGCTCGCTCCACAGATGGTGCATTTGTAGCATTTTTCCCCCGTGTGGGTAGCAATGTGATGATCGCGGTTTTGCTTTTCCTTAAATTCCTTTCCACATAGCGTGCAACGAAACCGGACAGAAATCTGTTCGTGGTCTTGTTTCGCATGTGCTAGAACGGTGGTCTTATTGAGAAAGGATTTACCACAAGCGGGAAATTCGCACGGATATCGGGTGCGTTTAGCCACGCCGGGGTGACTGCTTTTGACATGTCTTCGAACGGCTCCCTCGTCAAGAAATAATTTACCACATCCCAAAAATGTGCAGAGGTGTCGTCTTTCTCGCTTGGTGTGAATTCTTGTCATGTGATTTCGTAGCTGATGTGCCGCCCTAAATGCTCGAGAGCAAATTTTGCAGATGTGTCTAGGTTTATTGCTGTGCATGTATTTCATGTGTCTGTAAAGTTGGAGTCGATGTTTTACCGTCTTCCCACAAATCTATTAAACATTTGAGAAATAATTTGTATCAGGGTCAGTAGTCAACTTCCCCGGGTCTCTGGACAGCCTATGCTTTAGCCTGGAGGTGATTTTTTTTCCTATAGAAAATCGAAAAATAAGACGTTTTTGTTCTTTCATATTTTTCGAAAAAGTGACCGTGTGACCGATTAAAAAACATTGAAATTTTGCTATTTAACATGCATGTATACGTAAAATTTCAACAAAAAATAGCAAAATTTCAATGCTTTTTAACAGGTCACACGGTCACTTTTTCGAAAAATATGATAGAGCAAAAATGTCTTATTTTTCGGTTTTCAATCAGAGATGAATTCACGACGAGGCTAATTTCAAACGTAGCTTTGCCATGTTTTGTAAAGCATAGGCTGTCCAGAGACCCGAGGAAACCCTGGTAGTCAGTAAATAATTCACAAACCTCGCAATTAACTTGAGCATTGTTATCGTGGGTGAGGACGTGATTGTGAAAAATATGCTTATTTTTCAAAGTTTTTGAGCAATGTGGACATTTTAGATTGTTATTTTGGTTCTCCATTACTAGATTTACGACCTTCTACTTCAAAAAAGTAGAGTGACTACCATAATATGAAGATTTTAAAATTAAATATTTACAATTTTATACCTAAATTAATACGGGTAGGAAATTTCTTACCAGATTTTACGCAGAAGTAATATTATGAAATGATTTCTTCAAAATTTATGTTATGCTGATCCGTTGTAATTAATTTTCCACTTTGATAACCTGCATATGTATCAAATGTATTTAAGTGAGAATATTTTTTCAAAAATAAATATGGTTACATATATGTCACCTTGAGCACAGTAGACGTCACTTGAAAGGGTGTGAAAATTCTAAAGACGAATGAACCTAATTCCACAATATGTATACAGACAGGTTAAGATTAAGACTGAGGAGGAGAGGCCCTCTACCTGCCACTCTCATCTTTTGATACCTTAGCATATTTGTGACAGGCGAGTGATGCATAACCCTAAATTGGTTTTACTCCATAGTCACATTTTGATCACCTCAAATGGATGAAATCCGCTAAAATTACCAATTTCAAACCTCCATCCAATTTTGCTCGGATTTTTAATAATTTTTACACTTCTGTGATACATATTTCATCACGTGCAGTATAAATCTTAACCTTTTTGAAATTCTCAAGACTCACAGCTGCTCCTGTATCATTCAAAAAATTGCAAATCTCCAAAAGTTGAGTTTGATGTTAAACATGATGAAGCAAATGTCTAAATAGGACGCATAATAAATATGTCATCGTTATAAAAATCCGACCAAAATTGGATTTTTGGCAGCAGTTTAAGCACTTTTTTCGTTTTTTATACACCGGTGAGGGGATGCACTGGTGGGTGCAAAAGTGGCTATGGATTAAAACTATCCTAAGTCTATGAATAATTTGCCTAAGGGCACAAAATATGCAACGGGTGTCAGGATCGGAGAGGGGCATGTAGAGCACCTCTCCCCTTGAGTTTACAGCAAGGAGCGACACTTTCTTGGTATTCAGTCCTAAAATCGAACGAAGTTCAGTTAACTTATAACATCTGCAGGTTAGCTGTTTGTACACCGTCACCACGTCATCCCTCAATATGGATATGTACGTTTGTATTGGTTTACCCCTAACAAATACAAGTGAGAAATGCAAGGGTGACAATTCTCCCAGCCTGTTTCATAGAAACATTCAAATGTGAATCGGATCCACACACAGTGTGGACCACACTTAAAACCAGTAACTTTTTTTTACTGAGCCATGTTGAGCAGGCCACCATGACGAGATACGTACATTATATGCATGTAAATATATCCATATTTACACAAGCTCCTTGCAGAGTAAGCTCAACATACATAGGGGGATGTCCATAAATTATTTCCTGGCTGAGGGGGAAGTGAAGGTTAAAGTTTTGTGTAACAGACTAATTTGCGCCACATGTGAAAAATGGTTGTATGTAACGAGTGGTCTACAAAATCTTCAACTTTGCTTCACATAATTTATCCATGTCCCCTAAACACTCACAAACACTTTTGTATAATTCTATTTTTAAGCAAGCCTAACCCTAACTTATTTATACTCTTGACAAAGTTCTAAAATTGAGGAGTCATTTATGTACATACTACACATCGACTTTTACAGGGTTCAAGTAACGAGTAAAATTTAGCACGTAAAGATATTATTTTCTGTAAAATAATATACTCTTAAGAAAATCAGTAAACGGGGTATTGACACGTGACTTTACCGCCTTTGTATCGATTTTGTAATAAATTTAAAAAATTAATACCATATGGTACAAAACTTAATACTACCTAGTAATAAAATGATTAGCACATAGTATTATTTCATTGCCGAATCTATACCAGGGTATTACAATCGTTTAATACCATAGAGGTAAAGTCACCTCAATACCACTCATTCTTTTAAATACCCAGTTTCTAAGAGTGTGCACCCAATTGAAATATAAATTTTCCACGATGGACGACGCACTCTCAAAGCCACTCGTAAGTTTTAGGAAAATGAAATTCATTTCAATACGACGTAGAGCAAATTAGAGTTATACATAAATAACATCAATTTATGCACCTGGACTTTGTGGACCTTCCCACGATTAAATCTATCCGCCTCGTGTCGCACGATTGGTCTGAATTCGGTGCATCTTGGATCAGTCGTCACATGACGGTAGACCCTTTCAAGATATTTCTTCAATGTTTTTTAACTGGTCACATGGTCACTTTTTCGAAAAATATGAAAGAGCAAAAATGTCTTAGTTTTCGATTTTCTTTCAGAAAAAAATTACCACAAGGCTAACTTCAAAAGTGGCTTGAGCATGTATTGTGATGCATATGCTGTCCAGGGACCAGAAGAAACCCTGCTTCTAGGAGGACAAATTGCTCAGGACGATTATCCAAGTGCGCGAGAAAATTCGACATTTAGTCATCGGCACGGAATTATCGGAAAGGCCGTATTATTTGGATCCGTTCCTGACAGGGGGATCATTTAGGATCCCTTGAAAATTATCAAGTTATCATGGTTAAATTTTGACTTATTTGATCTTTTTATTTCGAAAACTAAGAATATATCATCTCCAAATTTTTGATATCTTATATGCGTATAGTTGCTCTTCCAAATAAAAATTACTCTAGCCAAAACCTACCGTGACATTTAAGCCTAGTAAGCGAAATATTTGCAAAAAAAAACATTGAAAATAATGATTTTTGTGGCATCGAATTTTTTAGTGGAGCAAATTGAGTATCAAATTCATGTTCAGCGTTCAAAATCAGTTAGAATTGATATGTCTGAAGTGCCTTATCGACTTTCCAGGGGAGTTGATACTCAATCACTTTCACTTCCGTCACACCAAAATTGCTTTCACTTCCGTTGCCAAGAGACATTTACAGCTTGTAATATAGATTCAGCACATAAATGGAAATATGTATCGTGTGAAATTATGTGCTCAAAATGTACCCAAAATTCCAGTAGGGGGCTGTGCATGAATTATACAACGCGATAAGGGGTACAATTTGTATCAACATTTTTGTAGCTGTTTTCGAATCAAAAATTTGGACTGCATAAAAACAGTTTATTCAATATTATTGATCAGGTTACTCTCACTTTTTTACAATTCTGGAGATATTTGGAAGGAAACCCATACTTCTGCTTTGTTTGTACATATATATTCATCATTACAAGTCTCACAAAAGGCAGTATAGTTAAAATAAATTCTTAGAGGATAAAGGTACGCATTCAATTTCAAATATACGAATGCGAACAGTTAATCGAAATTTAAAAAGGGGGCCGTATATAAATTACGTAACGCAAGAAGGGCGAGGGGGTCCAGGCTCCACTGATAGCGTTCCTATGTTGTTAAAGGGGGGTACTAGAAAATTGCGTTTTTTGCGTTACGTAATTTATGGAAGACCCAAGAAAATATCAAATTTTGATAAGTTCCATGGCTTTCACGAGCTTTCACCTTCTTCCAAAAACACCAAACGACCAAGCGGCAGTAAGCTTCGAATAAAATTTCCGCCACAACCTCGATCAAATCCTTGACACCATCCGACCCCGATCGCACGTGAACGCAGGCGTATACGAATTATGCAAAAAACATCGCCATAATCATGCAACGAAAGAAGAGCCAGATAAGCAGTTTGTTCGCGTCTTTCTGAAAATATAAAATGAGATCCTACCATTATTATCAAATAATATCGAAAAGAAAATCGCAAAAATTTTCCTGCAGGTATTCACGTCGACTTGGTAAGATCTTGGCAATTTGGTGATGTTTGGGAACAGAACTTATCAGAATCGTTAATTTATTAACGAACTATCCGAATTATAAAGACATCTATTTTAGTTAGTAAACTATGTCGTCAACCATATTTCGGAAACTTAGCGATAAGTAAATTTAATTTGCAATTTATGTATTTTCACTTAAAATACGGTGTTCACGACACCTAGTTTTCAAACAGCAAAGTTTCGAAGAGGGAAATTTTGGAGTGACATGAATACCCCCACATACTTTTTCTGCGGGGTAAGTTAATTTGTATAATACCTTGCGTGCCCCTTGGAATAGGATTATGCCAAAAATGCCGATGGCGAGCCAAATCCACCAAAAGGTGCTTCCGAACTCGGCTAAACAAATACAAAATTAATTTATAAGGAAATAATAAAAATGCCTGCAATTAATAAATGATTACGGTCTGATGAGCTGGTTTTGTGAGACAATATGTCCGGGTGAATCACACCTGCCGACTTCAAGATGCTTATACAACTGTGCAGCTGTGCAAATCAAAATATTTGCAAAACAGTATTTTTTGCAGACCTTAAATTTTGTGAAGTATTTATAACCCACAATTTGCCAGGATGCGATAATTTTGCACCCCGTCTGCAGCGAGATTCCGCAAAAACAAGGATTTTCCCACGATGGTGACCAGCTTTTTGGTTTTCGTTTCATTCTAGAATTGAATTAATTAATTAATTAATCATGTCATTAATTAATTAATTAATCATGTCCGCCTCACTTAACACCAACGATAGCGTGGGAACACTTAATTTCAACGTTTGTAGATTCAATTTCAGTAAAAATCTTATTTTCCCCGGCCACACCCACCGTCCCGAGGGGGTGGTCTGATTGTCAAGTATGATCCTTCAAGATGTATGATACCGTTAAGCAATCACGATTATCTTGCTTGATACATTCTTTCTCACGTTGTCCTGCTGCCGGACGGACAGACGTTCAGACGGACGGACAAAGTCTTCTCATAAAGCAGCGGCAGCTACTTAATAAGTTGATATGTATATTCGTAACGGCAAATAAACTAAATAAACCGCTGCAAACGAAATGCAGCAAAGGGGTGAAGCGACACGGTCAAGCGGTCAGCGCATGTTAAAATGATGTCGATTTTTCAAATCCCGGCCTAAAACTGCGTCTAAAGCGGCCAAAACAAAAAATTCGACATATTTGAATGTTGGCGTCGTCACCTGACCTTACGACCTACAAATCCTATCTTCGAACTCTCATGTGCTTTACAAATTAGGAACACGTTGGTGAAAACCGCATGTCCAGATTCAAACCCGTTCTAAAGTTATCGTGGAGACGGACGGAAAGACAGACAGATAAGACATACCCATAAAGGGATTTGGCTTCGCTTCACCCCCAATAAACCGTTGCAAACGAAATGTAGCAAAGGGGTGAAAACACACGTAAATGTCCTTATGGCACAACCACATCGTCTTCCAATACTTTCCCTTCATTTTCCCCAATTGTCTCACATTACCCCACGTCTCAATTCGCCCCGTTTCGACATAACTCCCGCGTACTCTGAACGTACACGACTATGCCTTTCGATAGACACCTCACATGACATAATTCAGTTTGTCGACATGGCGTCGTCTACACGGTCACACGGTCATCGTACGTCAAAATGATGTCGATTTTCGAAATCCCCGTCCCAAAATACGTCTAAAACCGTCGAAACAAAAAATTCGACACCTATTCGACACGGCGTCGTCGCCATGGCGCCGTGACCTTAATACCTACAACGCCCATCTTCGAACTCATCCGTACTTCAAAAATTAGAAATACTTTGGCGAAAACCGCATCTCGAAATTCGCATTCGTTCTAAAGTTATCGTGGATACGGACGGACAGACGGACGGACAGACGGACGGACAGACGGACGGACAGACAAGACATTCCCATAAAGGGGTTTTCACCCCTTAATAAACGCTACAAAGTATGGCATACGGATGTCACACGGATGATTGGGCACGATTCAAGCTTTAATGTCTGTATTTATGAAGATTTGGTCACGATTTTGGTTAATAAACGGTACAAATTATGTCACGCTGATGCAGAATTGGGCACGATCTCTGGATTGATTCCTGCTATAAATACGATGGAACGGACCGGATTAAAGTATTATTTACGGTGGAGACTTAAATTTAAAAAAAAACATTGAGTCGGTATATTTCCTTTTTGGAGAAGAATGTCATTATTTTCGACAAAAATCGTCCCAACACTCCTCCTACATTTGTGCTTCATTGCACTGTTTGAGGAAGGGATTTCTCTCCAGTTCCGATCTTGGACGGATAACGATTTTCAGGGTTTGTCTAGAATAATTAACTTTGAATGTATTTAGTTGTTATCAATTAACCTCTTTCATACTACTGATTTTTATATAAAATTGCTGCTGGGGACGATGACGATTTCATAATTAAACCTTGTAGAAACCAATTAATAATTTCAAATTTCCCATGAAAGAAAATTTGTGAAAAAAAATTAACTTTTTACCATCGAGTTTTCCATAAAATACCATAGAAATTGTCTAAGTTTTGATAAATTTTGGTGTTAAGGTAATTTCTGCTGAACACAATGTGTGTACTTGGTCCCTAAGAGGTTAACCTCTAGTTATTAATCTATGTATGTAATCATTTGTATCTAGGAAGCGAATTTACCCCTCAATTTGACCAGTCCGGGGTTTGCATTAATGTTCCGGGCGCGTTCAACGAGCAAATCTCGTCCATCATAGCGGACGACTGTGTCCAAATCTGGCGGGATGTTAACTGCATCGGAGAAGGGAGTAGGATAGAGCAGACGGCACAAGTTGCAAGATTGTCAGATTTCAACTTCAATGATGTCACGTCATCGTTCAATTTCTGCTGAATGGGTTGGTTAATTTAACATTTATTTAGTTTTTGTAAATTTTGTATGTGGTCGTATTTTACTGTACATTTCTGCACTCTATTTAGTCAATGTCTTGTACCTGGTTGCCACTGTTATAAGTGTGATTTGGACGACTGGAAACGACTAGGAATGGATTTTAAAAATTTGAATAAATTTCTTTGAATGCAAATATTTATTCACAGTTTAATTTCTTTTAAATAAATATGTGCAAATTTATCTTTCGCGAATTTAAATCAAAGTAATGTTTTATTAACCTCTTTCATATTAAATGCGTCATATGAGGTATTCCTGAACAGGTCTCTAAGAGACCAAATACGTCATATGACGTACTCTAAAAATTTCCGTTGCATACCAAATACGCAATATGATATACCATGATGACTGTCCCTGAAGGACCAAATAAGTCATATCACGTATCAAAAAAATTATCAAATGCTCCACCATGACACCAAAATTTCTCAGAAATAAAAGGGTTTCTTTGGTATTTTGTGGAAAATTCTATGGTGAAAAGTAGATATGTTTCTTCACAAATTTTGGAATTTTCCCTATATCAACCAATGTTAAAAAGTGGATATTTTGTGTTTTTCGTGAAACTTGGAAACTGGTTGAAAAAAATATTGGTCTTCTGTAGAAAATCATGGAAATTTAATTGGTTGCTATGAGATGAACATCGTATTCAAGGGAAATTTTATTTAAAAATATATAAGGGGAAGGAGGTTAAAATTACAAATAAAGGAAACATTTGTAGGCAAGAAGAAACTTGCATTATTTATTTAGAGGCAATGCGACATTCTTCCCGTTTGAAAAAAATACGAGATAAGTCGAATAATAACTTGATATCATGCACACCCTTTGATAACCATCCAGCAAGGGATAACATCACTCCGAATAGCAGAAACAGTGCAATCACATTCCAAGAAAATATGTCATTCATGCATTTGCCGCCCTACGAAATAAATAAGTATTT